TGTAACTGTAACGAGGTCCACAACTGTAGCTGTAACGAGGTCCACAACTGTAACTGTAACGAGGTCCACAACTGTAACTGTAACGAGGTCCACAACTGTAGCTGTAACGAGTGCTGCCACTGTAACTGTAACGAGTGATGCCACTGTAACTGTAACGAGGTCCACAACTGTAACTAACGAGTGCTGCCACTGTAACTGTAACGAGGTTTACAACTGTAACTTTAACGAGGTCCACAGCTGTAACTGTAACGAGTGCTGCCGCTGTAACTGTAACGAGGTCCACAACTGTAACTGTAACGAGGTTTACAACTGTAACTAACGAGTGCTGCCACTGTAACTGTAACGAGGTCCACAACTGTAACTGTAACGAGTGCTGCCACTGTAACTGTAACGAGGTCCACAACTGTAGCTGTAGCGAGAGCTGCTGCACAGTAGCCTAGCTACACTGTCAGGTGTATCGTACACTTGCGTCGCCATCGCAATTAAAGTCGCCATCCTCTCATGTAGGCGCAAGAGAATCCTGTTCTTTTTTGTACAAATAATATAAAAAAACTTGAAGTATGTCCAAAAACATGTAATGAGCCTTTTTCGCCAATAAAATAATAGTTTGTAGGTACTTCTTATGCATATTGCGTGTGGCTTAATAATAACAATGTTAATAAAATGAACAAGATTATTGTTAAGCGCTTAATTACCCACGACCGTACACAACACTGCAATTCGCAATTAGTTTCAAACAACAAATAACAAAATTTGAATAACAAAATTTGCAATTCGCAAACTTTGTTATTCGAAATTTACAACAGTTTATACGACGAGCCCATTTAGTTTGATGTCTCTTGTATGTTATCTTTTTGCATCATATTGTTTGAATAACTCGATAACATTTTTCTCGTATTACAAAAACTCTTATCTTTATGTTCAGAAACTCATCAATAAATCTGATACAAAGTTTCGAATTTTCTTATCACTTTCACGGAAATTTGAGGAAACTTTTATATGGTGAATTTAGTGCACATTAGTGGAGTTAAGTGCATATAGGTGGAGCAAGGCTACCTAGGCGCTGAGTGCTGCATCCAGGCGCTGCGTGCTGCATTCAGGCGCTGAGTGCTGCATTCAGGCGCTGAGTGCTGCATTCAGGCGCTGCGTGCTGCATTCAGGCGCTGCGTGCTGCATTCAGGCGCTGCGNGCCAATCACACTCGCTGCCAATCACACTCGCTGCCAATCACACTCGCTGCCAATCACACTCTCTGCCAATCACACTCTCTGCCAATCACACTCGCTGCCAATCACACTCGCTGCCAATCGCACTCGCTGCCAATCACACTCGCTGTCAATCACACTCTCTGCCAATCACACTCGCTGCCAATCACACTCGCTGCCAATCACACCATCACAATGCGGCATCAGGAGATTGATTGACCACCGCACAAGTTTACACGAGGAAGCATCAACGAGCATTGCAGCTCAACTGCAGGAAAAATCGGCTTACTTTGCAATGATATTCTTACCTGCAAATTGTGAAGAAACTTTCAGTCAGAAGATATATATTCGCACACGTATTTTGGCCTCCTGATTACAAGCCACAAATGCACGGTTATATCAACTTTCATATGAACTCCACTGCAGCATTCGCGTGAATAGAAACCATTTTCAAACTTTTTCGAAATTACGGAAATTTTTTATAACCAAAACATTGAGACATTCAAAATGCGAGTTAGTCTCTTTTTGAGACTAGACATTCAGAGCTTACTAGCTTAGAGAGCATCTAGATTCTAGATTCACTCATAAGCAGAGGCTTGAACGACCAAAAATCACTGAAATATTCTCTAGTGTATTTGTGACTGTAGAAAATCAAGCCTCATTCCTGTTTACTTTTAATGCCATACGGTAAAAATATATGGTTTACCAGTGCAACTAAATTTATTAACTAAAATAAAGATCGCTTTCCTCGTTCATTTAAGTTTCGGTAGAACTTGCCTTATAAGTGACATTTGAACGTTTTAATTTATTACTGAAATAATCTATCCACTTAATGACAAGAATTTGAATAAATGCCAAATATTGAAATCAGTTAGTGCCAATCATTTAGATAATTTACCAGTGAGTTGTAGGTATCAAATAATCTAATGATTATTACATTAATGTATATATATATATTACATTATATATATTACATTAATGTATATCACATCCCGTTATTGGCCAGAGTTAACTCAACCACTACTTTGTTGCCAGTATATGAATGAAATCTATTCATAAATTCAACTAGAATTAATACCTGTTGGTGGGCTTCAGCATCAACAAAGACTTTGTTCTCTGAGCATAATAAGTTTCAATAATTATGAACTATTTATTTTGTTGTGAGAAAATTAGTTGCTTTTTTTAACTCGTGATTGTTCATTAAGATTTTCGGTCTCTCTATAGATTCAAGATACTGTTATCACAGACGATCATCGTTGACTTATTTTACGAATTTAATTTTAATGTTTTTGACCGTATTAATTCCCGTATTGAGCCCCATGTTTCATGATTGCAGTAATTTAAATATATTTTTAATATCCACGTTTAAGAAAGGCTCCAAATTTCAAGCAACTGTTCTTAATTTCAGTCAACATGTCTTCAGGATATACTGAATCATTTACAGGCTTTTATACCCCTGGGGCCATACTTTCAAAACTCGATTAGTGATTGGTGGATTTTGCTTGAAAGGCCGTCAATGATTGGCTGACGAACTTACGATTTCTTAACTTTTTTTGAAAGTATGGGCCCTGGGGAACAGCGTATTTATTCTCCACTTCCTGATGATATCAAGCGCTACCGACATCGCTACCTCGTAAGAATGCACCACAATTTCCTAGTTGATGTTTATTTCAAGTAATTATTCTATAATTTCTTTATTAATTGAACAATTTAATTAAATCTGAGGGATTGGAACGACGACCGATATGATTTATTGTGGAAACCTTGAAGTAAGGTTACTATAGGCTTTAAAATGATGGGTAACTTCATTATTACGAGTTCTCTGGAGGTGCAACTGCCCCATATTTTCCAGTTTGTTTTGAGTACTATTGTATTTGTCTTATCTTATTT